CTGAGCAAAAGGTATTATGAAAGGTCTGAATCACCTCTTACAAAATATATAATTATATAGAGTTTCCCTTTGCAAACTACACATCACACACATAAGAGGTGGTATTCAGCAGGTTCTGACCAGTTCTGGAGAACCAGTAGTGGAGAACCGGAAAATACCACCCTGACTGGAGATTTTACAGTAACCTTCCACTGCTACACCCACCAAGCCACGCCCACAGAACCGGTAGTAATTTTTTTTGAATCCCACCACTGACACACATGTATTGTATTAATAATGTATTCATCAATCTAGATATACAATCTCCCACATTTACATTGGAAAAACCCTCACTGAAGACACTGGCTTCCTTTTAAATAAAATTGGCCTTCTGCAGTGGCATAATGCATACGTTTGAGAAAAGCAAGCATATATTTATAGATATTACAAAGACAACTGTTAAATTCAACACAAAAGTAATTTTGAAATAAATTTCTAGCCTCTAATTACAGATTTACAGCCGACTCTGATCATGTTCACATCTTCTGCATGGAGATAACTATCTGCAGAAATGAAATTATGTGAAGCAAAGTATATTTTCACAACATAAGCATGCAATAAATTAAAAAGGTTGGTTTGATATTATTATTTTGTATGTTGCCAATCTACAAGTTGCTGACTGTCCAGCCATCTCTCTTTATGTGTATGTGTAAGTGGATGTGGGAGAAAGAAAAAGTTGAGTGTCTAAGACAGAAAGACAAAGATATATTATGAAAATGCCAGGACAACCACTAATCTTATCTTATCCCTTGGAAATGGCATTTCAATACAATGAAATGGGAGAGATACATGCACTGAAAAACTTAAGTCATCTGCTATTATAATTAATTATTAGATTCCATAGTTGGGTATACCAAACAATGTTATATTCACATGTGTAGCTCTTTTCAAATACAATTCTTCTAGAAAATATTTCATCCTTTTTGCGATGGATACAGCACAATATAAAGTGGCAGATTTTACAATTTGGGGACTGATTCAAAACACATAACCAGATTTCCCCCCCCTGATATTTAGTATGAAGATGATTTTTAGGAAAAAAAACATGGAATGAGTGGCATTGAGAATATTTTTCAGGCTACCTTCTCAAAAGTTGGTGTAGTTCTGATCCTATCTACAGGAACCAGCTGAGGACATGGGGAGAAGAAAACTTAAGTTTTTTTAAAGACTCTTAATTTCCTTTGGGCTGTGGGCATCAGGAAAAGAAACATAATTCAGAATTCAAACAATAAAATGAGAAGCAGCAATTGTGTCTCTCCCCCTCCCACCATTAAAAATTGAGTTCTGTGTTGTAATCCTGGCTCCCAGGCAACCTACCCGCAGCAAATCTGGGATGACGGATTTGTTTTGACTGCAGAACCATGCAGACAAATGGAACAGACAGATGGCATGATGTGTATTCATGATACATGTCCTCGTACCAGAGTCTAGTCCATACTGGCTTTTTAATATAAAAAATTAGGACAGAGCTGCAATCCCAGCAGCATGAAGAGCTTCAAACTAACCCAATCAGAGTGGGGTGACTCTTTTTTTAATCTGAATGAATTCATAGACGGTATCATGCTGAGGGATATACTAGCATTTTTTTCCCTCCAATGGTTCTTTCTTTGTAATGATGGAGCACTGTGTCTTTAATAAATGTATATCAAAAGAGAGAAAGAGAAAGATATATATATATATATAGAGAGAAATCAATGATGATTATAGAAGGCTAAGTTTAGAATCATTTCCCACTGGCATAAAAAGCAGATATCAGAATGCCAGATATAAGCAATATAACATTGATGATATTTAGTTCTATCATATTAAGCAAAGAATGAGGTAAAAATCCTGTGGTGGTTTGTCTCTCTTCTCTGCGTGATAAAAAAAAACCACCCCCTCTTCTTCCCAAACTTCTTTTATCTGGAAGCCTGGCTGATTAAGCACAAAGAAAGCAAATGCTTGTCAGCAAATGCAGTGAGCATTGTTCAACATAAAAGAAGCTATTTATTCTCCAATGTAGAATCAACTGGGATATGATGGGGTCTCTCTCTTTCTCTGTCTCTTCCCTCCCTCCCTCCCTCTCTTTCTCCTCTTGATAAAATATGCTTTTCTTTTTATTTTATTGTCTCGGCTTTGTCAAACATTCCTCATAATCTACTACCAGGTCCAAAGAAGGTTGTTGGTACCATTGCTATGCTGAATATGGGCTCATTTCAGAGAATCTGTGAGAACAATTAAAAAGGAAACTCTCCTATTCAAATCTCACCTTGCCTTTGAATTCACCAGGCAATCATAAGATATATCTTAATTTAATTCTTTCTGCAATTGCTAGGTTGGGAATAATAATAATAATACTGATCTTCCATAGGAATATGCAGTAAGGTTGCTTGAAAACTGAGCAAGTTGTTGCACTGATCATAACAACATACATTTCAACACCAGGTTTTTTTTCAAATACTTTTATCACATGGTTTCGTTTAGTCACCATATGAACCAGCCACGACAGTAAAGATATAGCAACCAAATACTCTCCATCTATTTTTGGACTTTTGAGTTATATCTGCATAGTCTGAATGAGAAATAGAAAGGAACGTAAGAATTATAGTATAAATCTCTGAACTGCATAGGATACTATCAGTGACTTAATGTGTTGTACCAGTGGTCATTAATGGGATTGACAATGGGAAATGCAATATTATAACCTCAAAGTTATAAGGTCAGTTTTAGCAAATATTCTAATAGAAGCAAGATATGCAAAAAAAACCATGCCACATGAATTCAACCTAGTTTGTAATTAATATTTTTGAAATACTTGGAACATTGGTCAGATTTCAAGCATTAATTCTAATTGTAACATCACAAACAGGAACAGTACAATGTATATTTTAGGAAGAGTGCTATGCCCCATACAATGGTTTTGTAGGATTAATGTAAAGGATATTAATGCCCCATCTTGAACATATTTTCAGTGGAATCCAATGGATTTTAAAGGAATTTCTTGTGTAAAAGGATATTTAGAATTTCAGCTTTGTTTTAAATTCTGCTTAAAATATTTTTACAAATTGTATTAATAAAGGATTTTTCTTTCAATTATCCACCAAGGTCCAGTAAGAAAAGAGGCAAATTACTTCTATGAGGCATTATGGTTGTTCTCTACCATTCCTCATCTCTGACAAATCTATGGAAGGATAAATTCTTCAAACATACTTTGTAGAGGGGAAGGATCTTATACTTAGAAGAACTTTATAAGTAACTCACCAAACATCAAAATGGTATTTTGACATACCAGTTTCTGCTTTCCAGAGGACCAAAGAACAATCAACTCAGCAATAAAATCTTTTTTTCCTGAGTTGATTTGGATTCTTGATAATTTCTAGACATGTCCATAGAGTTTTCTTGGCAAAATCCAGATCCTTTTTCCAATATGCTTTTTAAAATTCCCCTTGCCCTAATCAAATAGACATCGCTTTTCTGTCATCTAACAATATCAAGAGAAAAGCCATGTAAGCCTTGCGATCTGTAGACATTTCTTTCTGAAATATTTCTGTGAAGGGTGAGTTAAAAAGAACTAATTAAATAATACATGGCTACAACGTCATTGTTCTTTCCACAGTTTTCTACTCAGTTGCTAGTAGTCTAAGAAAGCTTAATTTGTCTGCCTCTAATAGCTGCTTTTGATGTTGCCACAAATAAATTAATTACAATTTTCATACTTGCCTTTCATTTTTCCTTCACCTATAATTCTCTGATTGTCTGGACACTCAGTAATGCCTTTAAAAACCAACTGGACTTTATTTCCTACTGTGCAGGATAGGATGGTATGGGAAAGAAGTAATAGTAAATGTGTTTTGTATATGAAGAAGATAATCATACAAAACTATTCCAAACTGGGAATATAAAGTGGTAAAATATGTGTCATAATGGTATTTTTAGATAAAGGAATAAGGCTTGTTAAGAGAGCAATTTATGAAGGATGTGTAATTTTATATGGGTTTTCTTACAGTATTCATATTTTACTCTCATATATATTTATTCACAGATTTCTGATGTACAAGGACAAATTACAGTTTGCAACTCATACTGATGAAGTGCATGTTCTAGGCTCCTTATACAGGATCCCCAGAGGTTCCATGCAAGGAAAACAAGTAAAAATAATTTGCTTCTGTTCAAGATGGCCCAAGACAGCTAGTTATGTGTAATGGTTAATGCATCATTCAAGTAAGAAACTGGGAGATTGCGAGTTCCAGTCCCACCTTAAGCATAAAGACAGTTTTGTGATCTTGAGCCTGTCACTTTCTCTCTGCCCTAGGAAGGAGGCAATGGCAAACTATTCTGAAATCTTGCCAAGAGAACTACAGGGACTTCTCCATGTAATAGTCCAGGATCAACACTGACTCAAAGACACAAAAATAAATAAGTAAATAAATAGTAAACCCACAGGGGCCTATCGCAGAATGCAAAACTCTTTGTATTTGGTGATATGACTGCTTTGCACAGGTGCTCAGAAAACCATTTTTAAAAAAATAGCTCTTGCCTATTGGAAAGTTGTCCACATTGGTTTAAACCCACATTATATAATTAAGCTTTGCTAATGATGCTATTACTTATTAACTTTTGATACCTTCAAAATATAATATTTTTGATACCTTCAAAACACTGTTAATACTGCAAGCTCCTTTTGTTCCTGTGCTTCTGTATCTTCAGACAGATGACAACTGATTTCCACAGCCCTGACACATTAACAAATTTATTATTTGTTTAAACCATCCCTGGAACCAAAATGTTAAATTCCATATCGGACAAAAGTCATGGTGCTTCAAATGATAAACAGTTCCAGCAGTTTAAAGCAATTTTATTTTTATTATGTTTTTAATTCAAGAGTGCAGTTTGCTTGTATTAGTGACATTTGGACACAATTCAGAAAAAACAGATTACTTGAATATTTTTTAGTAACATTACAATAAATTAGGCTGCTGTACCTTGGAATTCTGCTAACATGTCTCATCTGTTTTCCTTTGGTAGATACAGAAGATGCTGACCCCAGAAGATGTCTTGAGTTAATTTAGTTACTCATCCGGTTCTCTCAATTCAACTGGAAAAAGAAACAAGGGAGAATTTGAGTTTTGAATATGTGTGTGTGTGTGTGTGTGTGTGTGGTGTCTGTGTGTAAAAAACTTTTTATTTTTATTTTTTATGTCCTACATTTTCTCATGATTTGGTCATATATAATTAGATAAAATGAATGGTGATATCATAGAAATAGGAACCGACTTTCATGAATAGCAAATAGTTTGGGGAAAAAGCACACATTCCACTGAATCTATGTAACATGAAAATTCTTTTATAATTTTAGGCCAATGAACAAATAAAACTGCCTCACATGATAGATGCTATCACAATAATGGATTGGAGAGTATGCGTAAGTGTACTGCATCAGTAATTCTGTGACCCTAAAGTCTGTTTCCTCAAATACAATACTATCTGCATTAGGTAAGAATATAGTATTGATCTGAACAGCAATTGTACAGGAAACAGGAGGGAAGGGCCACCTTTCTTTTTGTCTCAAAGGGTAAAATTGCCGAGCTAGGTTTTCCATAAGGAAAGTTTTCTTCGAGTCACTGAAAGAGCAGAAGAGAATGCAGAATTGGGTATCCCACACCAGTTGAACTATATTGCTTCCTCTAGCAAATTCTGCAAATGTGAGAAATGACTTTTGTTCAAGTCCTAATATACTTGTCTAGAACTTTAGCATAAGACAGGACAGATGTTCTGACCTAGGCTTCACAAAATCACGAAACAGACTCCTTGTCCCAACAAAAACCCCTTTTATTTGGCTAATGTGAATTCCTATCAGTCACATCCAGCAAAGTCCTGGCAAACAGTCTTTCAAGGGTGAATTACAACCACAGACCTTATCAGGCTTGGACAGTTGCCAGGCTGATAGCTTCCAAGCACAAGCTGTCCAAGGAGTCTCTGTGAGTCACAAACTCAAATAAACAAATCTTCACACTAATTAAATGAACTAATTGTCTCCTGCAAACACCACTCCCCTTTCGCTCTTATTTATTCCCTATGGGAGGGGCAATTCACTATCTACCTGTGACTTTAGTCCTGATTTACCCTTGTTCCTTAACTGTTCCCTTCTCCAGACAGCTCTGCGCCTGCGCACATCAGGAACAGGCTCCAGCTGTTCTTCTGCCCCACTGATCTCCGACTCCAAAGGAAGCTGATAACTGTTGGACGGCCCTGGCCCCATCTCTGCCTCTGACGCACAGCAGTCATGAGAGCTTTCCCAAAATTCTAGGACTGGCCCATGTTCCTCCCCAACCTCCTCACAACAATACATGACAAGGTCTATCCACATGTAGAAGGGGTGTTTATTTCATTTATTTAAGTTATAAGTCACCCATCTCACTATCAAGCAACTCTGACAATATAAAAATCCTTTTCCCATGCCTGCCATGTTTCATAGGTGAGAGGTAAGCATTTCATTTTCATCCCACAACTTCCTATATGTTCCTTCAGTACATAGTACTGTAATACTACACTGTAGTATTTCCTGTGTACCATATTTTACTGAGCCTTTTCTTATATCACAACCAACTGCATTTGAGGTTGTGTATAAGATGGCAGGGCTACCTCTTATGGATGCACCTCAATATTGCACAGATGTACAAAGAGGATTTGGATTACAACACCATGCCAGCCATCTTTCAAATGTTGACATATGGGGTCCACAAATGCTCATAAAATGTCAGATTAAAGCCAATCAATTAAAATCAGTAATATATAATGTCACAGTAAACTGTCACAGTAAACCACTTAGGCTATTTTATTTATAGAAACATGCCCTGAATGCTTTTCCTAATAAATGTTAACACATTTGATCCATACCACCAAATTAAAAGAATCTATAATTAATTATCTATCTATATACTGTCTTCTTTTTAATATTAAGCATTTTAGTTGAGTTAAAATCATTTGAATAATGAGAATGTTAATCACGTGCAGTAGTTAGTTGTTTAAACACAGTATGAGTCTTCCCTCCCTTCAGCGCTTTTATATTTGTGTTTTATTAAAACGCCCATGATCAGCTGAACCTGCCCCCTACAATGATATCCAAAGATTCATCTTCCCTTTCTTGTTACATCCACCAAAATATCCTGAGAACTTCATGTCAATTTTTTCTTTTCAGACAAGGTAAGTGTTATTTCCCATAATGTAGTAAGGTTCTGTATAGTTGTTATGAATATGTGCAAATAACTAACTACTCCATGTGACTAACATTCTCATATCAGATTCATTTATTCTATTGCTATGTGGATGCTAACCATAGAAGACAAAAACATATTTTAGACCAATAAGAAATTGACCCGTTGTGCTCTGTGTTTATAAATGCCGTTAATCACCCCAATACTACCATCTGCTCATGTGGGACATGTGATTGTTATTGAATAAAGTTGTTGACCTCATTTCCTCATTGCACATGGAATCTTTATTCCAGCCACAGAAGCAGATTCAGCTGGATGTTAGGAAAAAAGTTTCCTTACAATAGGAACAGGCTGACAATAAAATAAATTACTCTGTATGGTGGTGATTTCCTCTTTTCTGGATGTGTTCAAGCAAAACCTGGATAGTCACTGATTAGAGATATTTTAATTTGGATTTCTGCACTTAAAAAGATGTATCCTATGATGCTTTTATTTATAACCTATTTGTACATATAAAAAAACAAACCAATGTGTTGGGAGGAACAGTTTTACCAGCATTTCTTTCATTTCATAGGATGGCACTTGATAAGGCAGGGAAAATGAGCAATTTTTTAAAAAATAGCCACACATCTTTCTATCTTTTTTTCTTGTTTGTTTTATCACATTTTGTTCAAGCCATATAGACATGTGTTATGAACTGGACACCTAATTGCAGTACTACATCTTACACTTTGGTGTAAGTCAATTAGATAATCTTATTATAAGATGTAGGCAGCTGCATACAAAGCTAGAAAAGAATAGAAATGGCAAGAGGTTGGTTAAATTTTTTCTCTTGTTATACTTCCAGCTAGCGAATAATTTGTTGGGTTGACATCGTGATTCAACTATAGTGCACTTTTCTCCCAAAAGGAAAGTGACAATCTTATCTCTTTAATCAAGACTATCTAAAAATCATTGCAGCATTTGTGATAATTTCATTCTTTAACCTAGCATTGATTTTCCCACAGAAATTCTTTTTTTCATAATAGAATCTATGGAAAGCAAGGTACAAGAATGACTTTCTAATTCATACACTATTTCTCCAGCTCCCTACCATATATGAAGAAGCTTTCATGTGAACTTGATGCAAATCCCTATCCTAATGCCTGCAATTTGCGAGATTAGTGTGCCAAGTATACTGTGACTCTATAACCAGAATAAGAATTGGAAAACTTTCTCCAAAACACTTCTGCATGCATCTTGACACCTGGGACTCCTCCTTGAAATTGTGGTTAGTCCCAGCAACCCTGCGGTCAAGGAAACTTGATTTGCAACCTAACCTTTAGATAAGCAAAGTCAATGGGGGAAGTTGGCAGGAATTTGCAAGTTTCAGTCATAGAAGTCTTTGCTTAACAATCCATGGTGATTAGCTTAATGCTGCTAACTGGAGACTTCTGGAACTGTTGTCACTAAGTGATGTGGTCATGTGGTATCATATTTTATGACCAGATCACTTAGGGATGAAAATTCCTGCATATAGTAGATAGGACATTTTCTCAATCTATACTCATGAAATTTACATATGAGTATATTACAATTATTATTTCTTTATGCATTTATGCCCAATTCTCACCTGAACCGTTTTCACAATTTTTCACAAGCAAGAGCTTCCTTCTATTCCTAAGCATTATATTTTAAACACTGTCCTGTAAAAGCTCTCTGATAAAATTCTCCATCACTCCTTTCACATTACATACAAATGGAAATAAAATACCAGATGTGTTTTATGGTTATAGGAAGAACATTTCTGCAACATTTCATGTGTGGAAAAGCAATTCATTTTTTCCATCTTTGAACACAGTTATACAAGAAATAAATAACATCATAGCTAGAAGTAATATACAGTATGAGTTGAAATAGTGAATTGATACAAATATGACAAATACAACAGGCAAGCTCAATGATTGTGCATTTCTTTAAAGCATCATCAAAGTGGAACTTGTATCTTTCATTTTCCTATTTTCCATTCATGGGGCAAAATGACACATATTCCATCTTTGTCCTTTGAAATCACTCTAAAACCTTATCACATTTAATTTCTATTGAAATAAACTCCAAACTCAGGGCTACCGGGGATATGAAATTAGAACAGATTTTGATGTTGCTTCTATGAAAAATATCTGAAACCAATGAAATTTAGATATATGGATAATGTATCCTGCAAAATTTTATGTAAAGCTTTTAATTATAAACTTAATATGGCTAGATGTACAAAGGTGTGAAAACTGTGTTCTAAGACAATTAAAAATCCAATATTTTGGATTCGCTATTTTTTGTTAGTGTGAAAAATGAAACCCCATTTTCTTATCAATTATTGATATGACATCTTTTTGATTTAGTAGGTATCTTCTACATTAGAAAAATTAAGTTAACCTTTCAAATTCATCCCATAGTAAGACAACCAGCATTCAGATAAATTCAAATGCTATTATTTCCACTTGTAGATAAATTTATATTGTACTTAATATATCATATTTTTTTAAAAAGTATCATAATATTTCAATAGGTCTCATCTTATGACATCGTTTCTCCCTAACCTACTGGGTCTTAACTCTAAACCAGCAGCCCCAATTTTTGCGGTTTGGCTGGGGGAAGGAGGAACCGGGGCACACAAGCGGCGGGCTGGACTTATGTGAGTGATGGGCTGGTATGGAAGCACATGCGCGCACTGGCCTGCCGCCCCTGCACCTCACTTCCAAATAGGACACAGCCCAGTAATGGGCTGCAGTCTGGGGGTTGGAGACTCCTGCTCTGAATATATTTTTTTAAAAAATCTTACCTGCCTCTTTCATCATTTTTTCTTGTCAACTGTAACAGCTGACATGTTAG